TATGTTAGCGACGTTATATCGAAACGACGTAAATCGAGGACTCCTCGCATAATCTGATCGATACTTTTTTCTGGGAGAGGACGGCGGGGAAGGCTTTCAGCGAGACAGGCGGGCCCGGCAACAAACCGCGCTCACACTCACGTAGTTTTTTATTTTTTGCATTTTGCCCTCTTTCAGGCTTCGGCATCGACAGCTTCCAACCTTACCGTAGCCATGGCGTCAATGGTGCAACACCAGAGGCGAATCTCTGTGGTTGTCAATACGTCGGTGCAGCCCTAATTTATCAAAAATATTAATAATGTCATAATTTATATATGAATATTTATAATATAATGCATTACATAAATATCTTTGTAGATAAAAACTTCTGTAATATAATAAATATGACTGATTGCTTAGAAATTTTCCCGAAAAGCAGTTATGTTCGCATTTCATCTTCATGGCAAATTACTGATGTTTTAACAATTTGTCAGTCATGTCTGTCTGGGTGTCCATTGGAGGTATAAAGGAGGGAACTTTGACATTCTTGACATTTTCTGAACTGAGTGCTACTTTGAAAAAAAAAGAAAAGAATTGCTATTCCACCTTATTGCAAGTTCTAGGATGGAACATAGGAAATAAAATGCCTGATGCAAATCCAATGTAATATTTAAAAAATCCACACTGAGGAGCCTGGCTTCAGCATGAAGAAAACATTTATTCTCACTATTGGAGAAATGGCAAATGTGCACCTCAAGCTTTCCCCATCAGACCTGGCCCCAAATAAATCTTAAAAGTGGAGGGGTTAATGCCTGAGGGTGGATTTTTGAACAGAGAACAATCTGATAATGCAGCTTTATTCTGGGGTAAAACACACGTTTCCTGGAAATAAAGCAGTGTTATCAGATAATTCACTGTTCAAAATCTACCCTGAATGTGCAAATATAAATGTATATATAGATATCGGTATCAGTTATCGGTATCGGTATCGGTTCTTTTCCAATATCGGAATTATCGGTATATCAGATATCGGCCAAAATTCAATATTGTTGCATCTCTACTTGTGATCACAAACAAAAGCAACAGCTATGTTACATTTGTTTGTGGTAATGGGCATGGACATGTGACAGATCTGACATTCTAAAAAAAATTGGGAGAAAGTTTTGAGTCATTGTTTCCCCAATGACTTGGTAGGTTGTCAAAAATGTCCTAAATCTTAGCCACCTTTGTGTATAAGGGCCATTGCCTTTGTCTTACATACAAGGGTGTTCAAGATAAAGAGTATTTACTGCCATCATGCTGCAAATAGAAGCAATGTGGAAGCTAAATTTTCTCTCTGATTACCATAGCCATGAAGAATGTCTCTGAATTCCTTTCTTTGAATAACTAAAGTAGACTTTCTATTAGTTTATTCTGTATTTGTATGAGAGTTTGTTCATTAGCCTATTAGGTCAAGGTTGAATTACTGTCATTAATGAATTAACTTCCTACTCCAGATGAATTCAGTGCACTTAGACTGTTTTTGGCAAAAACAGCAACTAAATGTTTTAGTGCTTTAGTGATCCTTTATGATGACTAATGAATGGATAATAATATTTTATGAAAGGGGAAATGAAAATGTTGCTTGGGACTAGGTTTAAGTAAAAAAAATAGCCTTCCAGATGGCCTAATATTACTTCCCTGTTGTTGCATGCTTTTCCCCAGTGATTCCATTTTGCATTGCAAGAAAGAGAGTGACATGATGCTGTCACCTCAATAAAACCTGCCCCTTGAAAGTCTCATCACCACATGAGGATTCTCAAATAATATGAGAGTGCTTTCTGTTTGGGCCAGGACATAGCCTGACCATTGTTGGTGTGGAGCAGCTGCGGGATGGATCCACATGTCTGCTTGTTTTCAACCCATCCACATCCCCACAGGTGATGAAAAGACTCAAAGCAGATAAGCCATCCTCAGTGGTTGCACCCTCTCAGATGAAAGCCTTGCGCAAGTCACTCTGTGATCTCACCAAAGACCAGTATCAAATTGTTGCTGTCTTTGGTACCATGTCTTCACGAGAGGAATTTGAGGTAGGTCTCTTAGCAGGATAGCAAAAATTATTGTATTTTTTTAGTCTCTCTCCTTGATTTTAATCGCTTGGAATTACTGATGGTCAAATCTGGAATGAAACTGCTCCAATCATTGTGTAGGAGAATTCTATTATAATTATAAACTCAGCCATCTTGCACTCTCTGTTAAGGAATTAAAGGGAATTCAAATACCACCAATCATTTGCACTGTTTAAATCTTGAGAGAAGTTTTGAATGCATTTGTTGAATCTTAAAAAGCTGTAGTCATATATACAATGAAATGATCAAGTCCCCCCTTCACCACCAGGCCATTCATAGTAATCCCCAGTGTGAGAACGCCATCAACAACCCAAGGTCAACTAGTTAACATGAGAGACCTAGCAAAATCTTTTGAATGGAAACAAGATTCAGAGATTTGATACACTTTTCAGATTTTCTCAAAATTATAAAAGGAATTGAAATAGAATCACTGATAACATCAAGGCAACAAATAGAATCAGTGACAGCATCAAAGCAACCCAAAGCATCAGATCAGATCTCCAGTCTTCCATATATGGTAATTGACTTATTATCCAAATGCTCATCACTGCAACAAAGATATGTTCCATGTGGAGTCCATATAGAGAATCAGAATAGAGAATCTCTTCCTCAGTTGCATAGAGGAAATGCAGATTTCTCTGTTCTTTATTTGTTTATATTAAAACATGTATAATATGAAAAAATTTCTCACAGCAGGAAATTTTATCCTCCATATGTTGCAGAAAGCAAAGGTGCTGACCTCGACTCGCATTCCTTGAAGAGGGAGCTCCAGCTGTGATAAATTTCCCCATCATCAACCCTTGTAGACTTCTACATTTACTGATGTCCTTCAATTTCCTGATGGTCTCTATGTCATGGTTTTTTTGTGGTGGTCTTCTTGTATGCTGAAAGGGTTATTCTTTGGTTGGCTGTTTTAAATTAATCTTTTCTTGCAAGTCTAGTTCCTCTAAAAGGAGACAAACACTGTAGATTCCCCACTCGATCTGAGCAAATTGGGAGCGAGTAGTTCCCATCAGAACCTTCTGCCAAAGTGATGACAGCTGTGCCAATACACTGTCACCAATGTTGGTATCATGAGCCAAGAGTTTTGGCACAGAGAGGAATAAGATTTTAAACCAATGGCCTAGGTTTTCGACAATAAGGCATCTTTGTGGCTTCATCAACATCATAGTCAGCTGATGAATGAGCCGGTCAATGATAACAGGGCCGCTGATAGGATGCTGAGCAAACATGTAAACTACTTCAGCTGCATTTTGCACCTCTTCCACCTGCCATTCAAGGAAAAATTTTTCAGTTGTCAGCATGTGGTTTTCTGTCAAAAGGCTGTAATTGATATGTCATGTGGAAGCTTCTTTTCAACATACAATGGGGATAATTGAGCCTATAACTCATTACCTCAAATCAGACTCATATGATGCAGTTTTCTCTTTAAATTTAATATTTTTATATCAATAAAGTTCAATGAACCAGAAACATGTGTATTCCATACTACTTGAATTTTTAGGACTTCTATCCATTTATCAAGCAAGTGCAGAACATAGTAATTTTTTTAATGTATTGGCCAGGCCTACCTTGTTAATCCCAGATATTTGGAGGATGAAGTCCAAAAGTCTCATGACAAAGGTGACAACTTCTTCCAGGACCAAGCAATTCAATTCCTGGCTCCAGTCTCCTTTTGCCATCAACTGGCTCACAAGCTTGAAAAAAATATAATAATTGAAGATAATAGAAATTGTGGCGGTCTGTGCCATCTCTCTCAAAAAATCATGTTAGCTATAGTCTTGAAATATATATGCTGAAATTCAGGACAGTGCAAAGACGAAAAGCAACTAATCATATGGGAACTTATCACTGAAAAAAACATTTGGAATAACTTCATATTTCTTGCTCTTAATAAACTGTGTGAAGCCCCTACAACCAGCGGCGTAGCGAGGGGGGTCTGGGGGGGGGGGGGGGGGCTTCAGCCCCCCACCCTGGTCGGGATGGGGCAGGGGGGGGGGGGGGGGGGGGGGGGGGGGGGGGGGGGGCTTCAGCCCCCAACTCTGGTCGGAATGCGTCCGCCCCCCTCCCTCCCCATCCTTACGAGGAGAAGTAAGCCCCCCCAACGTTCCGCTTAGCCCATTGACGAAAACCTGGCTACGCCACTGCCTACAACGTAATATGAACGACTTTTAAAGTGTTGCAGTTTTACTTCTGTATTGAGATCTACAATAGAGTTTTTAGGAGAGAATCTTCAATATATTGCACATACTGAAGTTGTGTGAAAAGCAAACATATTGAAAACATGTATGTAAAAACAGGCATGAGATCCAAATTCTCTTGGTTGCCATTTGGTAACATCCTCGAAGAGAGTCGGCATTTAGATCCTAGGCGAATCAGATGATGGCCACCTGGAACCGACCTATGGACATATTCCTTCGTTCCGAGAATACAACTTACGAAGTCAGCATCTGACCCTTGGCCCTAATTTTGACCTTCAGAGCTCTCCTGTTCGTGGTGGATGCCCGGTCCAGGCTCACTTGATACACTTAAAAGAAAAATAAACTTCAAATCTAGACTTGGAATATATTCGAGGAACATGGAGTTGAGCAAATAGCTTTTACAGAGGACATTTTGATCCAAATTTTTTGCAGGAAATGTCGCCAGCCGGAATTCAGAAATGCCAGGGAACAATTTTGACGAATTAAAATCGTTTCTATCAGGGAAATAAGAAAATAAGGCTTAATTTGAGTTCTTAACACCTCGAAGAGATTAGTTAAATAAATCCCGTTATTACTCACTGCTGTAAGAAAAAATTCTAATTATTTATGAATTTGAAAAGATTCAATTTTGAAGTTATCAATAATTACTGTTTTAACATTCTGTGCAGCTACGTTACAATTACATATAAAGATCCCGAAACTAACTTGGATGGAGTCCTGAATCAAAGTCTCCCTGAGACACTTTTTGGACGTTTTCTTTCTTCTGGGTGACGTGATGGATTCATGGATGTTGTCCAGAAGTATTTTGGTTCCGTCGAGGACTGCATTTCGGAATTCGTTTCCTCCCAGGATGGTCAAAAGTCTTCGGCTGCTCATTCGACATGACTCCAACACCTGACCCCCACTTGACTTGAGACTCTTCACGACCAATTGTAAGAGCGAAAATTGAAATGAATTTATTGATTTTCGCTTTTTTTTTAAAAACCAACTAGCACTTTTTTTTATCTGGAAGTCATCAGGATGTTGCAGTAGAAGTGATTAAGATCCTCCTCATAACTTAAACGATAGTCTCAGAACGTGTCTTGCTAGAGAGAGAAAAACGTGTAATCGATCGTGTGATTTCCTTGATCTAATTGTTTCTAATTCATTATACGAAATCATAATTATTCTTGTTGCAATTTTTTCTATGTCTGTATAAATGGGATATTAAGCGTAATGGCTTATGTTTATATTATTTGTTATTCTCCAGTAAAGGGTGAATGTAAATGAACACAAACCATGTAACACTCTTGACCCAATGTGGGCTTAAGGTGTGCAACGTTGCCGGGTAATACAAGTTGGAGGACAACGTTAGCCAACCGTCGTAGCTACGTGGGCATCCCACATCATTCATGCATTATTCCGTGTGTGATGCAACTCTTCGATATTTTAATTAATTGGATGGCATGATGGACCCTGATTGATACCAGGAAACGTGACAGCAGCGCTAATAATGGTTCGTTTTTCTGCTCAAATAACTTGGGGGCACCATCCATGCTCCCTCTGCCTTCTTGCATAAATGAGAAAAATCAGTTCTCACTTCATTCTGGATTTCGGCTGCTAAATTTCACGTGTTTTTCTCCTGTGTGCAAGTCCCATCTTCATATAATGCCTTTTAGCCAATGGCTTGCTGTCGCTCTCATGTTTGCTGTGTTCTCGTCATTGTGCTGGGTGTCAATGTCCATCGTGTATATTTTGCTCTCCAGTATCAATCGCATCATTCTTATCCTTACCCATGCTCTTGGAATGCAGGCCCTGCTCTTTAGCACAGCTAAGAGGTTTAAAGCTTTATTACGCTGAAGTCAGTTTTATGCAAAGTTCGTTGTTAACAACGAATGTGAACGAATATGAAAAAAGTAGATCTCAAAAGAAATAGAGAACGTGAAGACCCTTCCAGTTCGAGAAATACGCTCTAGTTCAAGTGAGACTAAGTCTGTAAGGGTGACTTCAAGGAAGTTGAGAAGCGGCCTCCTGTTTCAAACTCGGTCGATAGGGAGCGAGAAGGGAAATTCCAACTGAAGTGGTGGGAGCGTTTTCGTTAGCAATCATTCGAAAATTCGATTGAAAAGGTAGTTTGTTCAATTTGCCGGCAAGCGCTTGAGAAAGGCCTCCTCGCGTGCTCTAACAAAGGTGAGTACATTCAGTGATGGATTCAGTAATTGGAAGAAGATACTTAAAGGTTTTCCGCTCTTGAGAAGATAGAATTTCATCGAGAGACACGCAAGAAGCTCCATGCATTGAACCATTGACGACGCAAAGGTGACCACTAGACCATGCTCCATGTCCCAATGATCACTTTTGCGTGGGGCCCACGCGAACGATCGACATTATACCAGTGCGTCCGGACGTAGAAGAACCAAGTTGAACTAACATGGGCCACAAAAAATCCTATTTGAGAAGGCTCACCCATTGAACCTGAGAATAAATTTTTCTTAATCAGTTTTATGTTAATATGCAATGATCGCCTTCCCATTATCCTTACGCCTAACAAGAACTCGGTGGAAAAAAAAGTAAATTTCTTTTCACTGACCCGATCATGTGGGTAGGCAGCGGCCAAGTGGCGGCGAATGGCGTGGAAGGGATCTTGGACTGGCAGGGTCTCCCCACTGATGCACATCTCTCGCAGAGCCATAAAGGATTGCAAGAAAAGACTCCTCCGTCCCAGAGCCAGAGAACTGGTGAATCGGCACGGGGACTGGGGATGTACGAGGCCAGGTCCAGGTGGCATCGGCTCGTCTGCCTGGGACCAGGGCGGGGTCAGAATCTCCCGGACTCGAGGGCCTGTTGAGAATAGCAGATTCTCGGGTCAAGTCAGGAACATCCTGAGTGTGAAGGAAACAATTCAAAGAGGTCTATTTTTCTTATTCTAAGGGTGACATGTACCGAATCCGTTTAAGTTAAACTAATCTGATCTCACAATGGTTCCCTATGGGAATCAGTTTAACCGCGATAAACTTATTCCCATAGACGCCCATTATGAAAACGAATCAGTTTAAAGTTAAACGGATCTGGTGCATGTCACCCCAAAAAGGGATTCAAATCTTGCACTAAATGGAGTTGATCGTCATGAAGAATCTCTACAGGATTCCTACAGTATAAGAACTAATAGAAACCCTCTCGGTTCTATTGGATTACCGTAATAAAAGTATAGGATCCCATAGTATTAGCGCATTCCTGTAGGAGTCCCGTAAGCATTATCCCTTACCTTTATCCTGAACTTGTATATGATTCCAATTGGAACTTTCCTTCCCTTAGAATGCCTTTAAAGAAATCTATAGATTCCTGAGATGCGTATAGTATGCCTCATAGGATCCTTATTTCCTACTGGAAGTCCCTACGTGCATCGTAAGACAGTTTCAAAGGTGTCGGGAAACCACCTCCATTACCTATCTTGATTCTTCCCTCCTGATCAAGCTATCAACACGCTTCAATGTACGAGAGCCCTTCAGAAAGGAGGTACCCTTTATTTTTCTGGAAGGACACAGCATAGGAAGTATCACCACAAGTCCCTCTTTTCCCCCATAGCCATCCTTCAATTTCACGCACTTGTTCCGTCTGTGACACAACATAAGCATATTGGGGTATTTGAGTTACTGGAAAATGGAGGATTCCAAGTCATTACGGTGCTGAAACCTGCGATCACGGAGAAGTTCCTCCAGTTCCGGAAACTAAAAGTAGTCTTAGTCTGGACTGATAGGAGGATGTGACACTAAACCCCAGCCGGATTTTCAATGATGCTTGCATTCGTGATGCCGGCTGTGTGTGAGCGAGAGTTTTCGCTCTGTAGGAGCACTCCATGCTGCAACAGGTAAGGTGTCTTCTTTTGCAGAGCTCGCAGCTATTCCTCAAAAGGACTGACTATCTTTGTCCTGTAGCAATGACAATCTGAGGCATCGGATGCCCCAAAGTGACACCTTCCACGTCCCTAAACATGATATATAGGACTTTCCTAGCAGATTTTTATGTACGACTCGTCTTGGAAGGTGGAGACTAAGGGTTTTTTCATTGTATGGACTGAGCTTTTGTTTTCAAGTCACAAAATTGCATCCAGGTCTCGTCTCCAGAGACGATACGTTTTAGGAAGAAGTCACCTTCCGTTCAGTAGCGGTGGAAGTTGTCCCAGCAGTGGCGCGCAGGTCATTCTGCGGAAGTGTGAAGAGACGTGGAATTTACCTGAAAGTCACTTTAATTATGTGCAGAAACTCATAAATGATGAGTTGACTTGAATCTACAGAGAGGCCAGTGAACTTCTGTGACTCTGCCACAGCAATGCGACGGTCTTCAATCATGTTCCATATTAAAACATCGACAACAAAACATCGACTGAGTGCTTCAGTTGTAACAGTTCAGATCCCAAGAGTACCCTAGAAAACAGCAATAATATCCACGTCATTGTATTGTGTCCTCACAGAACTACTCACCCCTGCGGCATACAATGAAAAAAAATCTCATAAACATACAAGTTCTCATGCAAATTTGGGCTGTTCCACCAAAACACGTTGGCATTTCCCTACGGTCTGGTAAGCAGCTGATCAAGTAATTTCTTTTTTTAAATCGAAGTTTTCTTTTATCTCAAAAATTTCTCTCGAAGTCGATTTCTTCTCAACTCTTCGTTTCACGGTTCATGGTCTTTTTATTATTATTACTTTCGGATCATTTCGCCTTGCTCGAATATGCTTAGTGGAGGTCTTCCAACTGTTTCAGCTTGCCGATTATCGCGATATCCTTACATGGAAGTTGGCTTTAAAAAGACGAATGCGTCTGGTCCTCCGTGGGGAGAAGCCTTAGATCACCTAGTTAAGTTTTTCCCGCTCACTTCATAGTAGCATTTTACCTAATTCCCTGAGCATGGAAATTCCCTTCGTTGAAGGTAGCATTCCGTTTATAAGAACAGCCTTGTCAGGAGAAGTAGAAGTATGATACTATGCATAACAGTAATTTAATACAGCCAAAAATATTTAAATAATTTTTGTGGTTTCGATGTTTCGTCGCGTCGATGTTTTGGTGGCGATGTTCCGACGTTACACCTCACGGGCAGGGCCGGCCTGAGGCATGCGCCGTATGCGCCCCCGCACAGGGCGCAAATTCACCAGGGGCACAAAAAAGTGACTGCATGTATGAAGCAATAATGGATGTCACCCTCAGTTTTACTTCAGAAAGTGGAAATGCCTTCCGTTTCGGCGTCATTTCGGACGCTAAGGATTGACCCTTCTCCTTTTGAGTGGGTAGGGGGGGGGGGGCCTTGGGAGTGTCTTTGCACAGGGTGCCGAAATAGCTAGGGCCGGCCCTGCTCACGGGAGCCTTCTCTAGATGAATGTGATTAGGATTTGTTGCTGTTCTGGGGTCTTCCTGAAAGCTCTTTATCAAAGACGCTCATACGACTACCACCAATGGTTATTTCCTGCTGAAAACCACTTTCTTTGACAAGGTATTGTCTCCAAACACCGTTCACGAGCCTGTCATAAAATCTAGTATAGTTCTCAGCTTCATTCGGCAAGAATTTAATAACGGCACGCTGATTAATAACTAAGTCACTCACCATTACATGCAGTGAGACGCGCAGCAGCTGAGAATGGTGGCCATTTTTGAACAACTAGCAGGGGCATCTATATGAAAGTTGATGCAACTAAGAGTCAAGCATGGTACTATTCCGTTGGCCTATCTGTCGCTGCTCCACTGTCACTGCCTTGAAATGAAACTATATGTAACTACTTTCTGAAGGGCCCTATACGATGAATGAGTTAATTCGTATGAGGGAAGTACATCTGCTGCAAGGAAGAGATGCAATGGGCAGTACAGAGACCAGACAGCGGTAGGGTGCAGAGGTGAATGTCAATAAGGTGTTTTTTTAATGGAACTTTCAGCGGGCGCACGAGAAAATACTTTTTAAGCTACAGTAAGCCGAGAGGAGGCTGTGTCACAACCAATATTACAGTCCTTCAAGCAGGGAAGTCCCTCCACACACACAATGGTATGCGTATCACAATGTCCATGTTCATAGATGACTAGGGCGAACCTGTTCAAGATGGAAGATTTCAAATCGTGTGAAGAGCATCGCACTCAGTTAACTCCCAAAAACGTTAATCTAGTCTCGTGTGTCTTGAGGATTACTTTCTCATGCATTTATATTTTGTGTGTGCAGTAATGGCACAGATCGATTCATTTCTGGACAAAGTAATATTGTACTCTGCATTTTCTCTACTATAGCATTTTCTCCGATTCCTGGAACAGCAGCAGGTAGAGTAAGCGTACAGGTGGATTAAGAAGACTCCGGCAAATACAGCACTCAGGCAGAATAGTTGAACTGTAATACTGACTTCGCGATGGATTGTTCCGTACTTGTTTTATCCAGCATCCCAAATAAGAAATAATGCGGCGAAAGATTATGAATGTTGTACCCTCACACCTGAATCTCTCATCAATTTGGTAACATTCGCACCTAGCTCTGAGCAAATATAATTTTTTTGGTGATGAATCTCGAATCAAAACCAAATTCTGCATTTCTTCATTTATTCACAATTCAAATCGAATCGTGTTAATGAGATTGAGTTTCCTCTGCTTCATTGTCTACTCTCAGGAAGGTAAACACTAGCCAAAATGAAATCTAGATTGATTTTTTTTCCCTATGGAAGAATGTTACTTTCATCCCGAGGAAATGAATGGAGCGGTGTTTTTTTAATTTTTAATTAACACTCTTTATAGTGATTGCGGGAGTCGCGTTCTAGTGAGCAGGATGAGTTCACACTCTCCCTAGGCTTACAAGCAAAGGCCGATGCACACTGCGAAGAGTTGCGGCAAAACCAAGCTGCGACTTTCTGCGAGACTTGCAGTTATTTCTTGACTGCGAACGTATGCGAAGAATCTCGCCTACTGCATGATTGCAGAGCACCCAAGCCAAGTCCAACATGGCTGCGTACAACCTCAGAGCTCGTGCTACTACTCTATTGCTTATTTGCGGCCCCAGGGGAGAAGAAGCTCTCGACAGTGTTGGGTGCGTCCTGTAGACAGATGGACATCGGATGAGAGAATTCGTGTCTCCAGTAGAAAAGATTGTCATCGAAGACAATAAGTATTTTCACGGGTCCATGAGAATGTCTCCTGTGCTGTCCAAGACCCATCTTGATCTGCTGGAGAATACCCCGAGAGGACAGGACACAAAATTCAAACCATGCAAACCATGCAGCCAACACAAATGTTGGCAGTGACCCTGAAGTGGGTAAATACATACTCAATACAAACATTCCGTATATCTCAAATACTGATTCCAGCAGATATACGAGGTTCAGTCAAAAAGTTCAGGGAATGATATTAAAATTAGGGAGATAGAAGCTATCGAATGCGCTTTGCGTTAAAATTGACCTTGAACCAATCCATCAAAGCCATTTAGTACTAGTTTGGCGTGCTGCTAGTAAACATAATGAAAGAGCATTGAATCACCATCGAATAAAAATAAATAGGGGAAGTCACCCTCTGAAAGTCTTGAAATGTTACAACAGAACTTTGTAGAGAATGTAAAGGGAAGAACAGCAGTTTTTAATTGGCATCAACGATTTTGTGGGGGTCATGAAAGTTGATGATGGAACTGGCAAGCCATAGACAAATGTCACTGAAAATAAATCAAATGGAATATTTGGTTCGCCAGGTCAGAATAAACTAGTCGATACGACTATATCGCGAAGCTATATCAATGAGAGGCTCAGCATCCCACTTGCGGAGCTAGAATCAGTTGTCTACGAACTGGAACACTGGAGGACGCTCCTCAGCCTGCTTCAGTTATTATAGGAAGGATGGTTTTAAAAATGTTCGTATTTATGTATGTTTTCACGTGCATAAAAAGAGAAAAATTCTCTCTTTACAGCTGTTAGGCATAAAATTTGATTCTAGTTCGCAGGAAAAAAAAGGACGAAGTGAAAAGGAGAATGCTAGCGAAGACAAACCCGTAGGAGGTGGAAGCCAGGCCTTTATCTCTGTCCACAATTTATAAAGGCACCCGCCTTCCATCTCTTGATTCACATCGACTTCAAAGCCCCCCTCTCCTCTCTCCAATGATTCGTCAGCCTCGTCTTCTATCTCTCGATGCGCTTCGCCCTCTAGATCTTCTGTTCCTTTTTCCCGTAATTTTTCCGCCTCTTCCTCCTCCAAAGATGAGATTCAGCCAATTTTGAATTCATTTACGATGTTTGCCTTGTTCTATGAAGGAATCCATTGAACGAATTACCTGAACTTGTAAGCTTGCTGCGATTCCTTTCGCCAACTCCCTTAGGGGGGAAGTCGCAGGCTTCGTTGACAAAAGAGTCAGTGCAAGAGCGACTTTCACCTTTAATTTCTGGAGATTGGTGCCTTCCATCTCCATTAGAGCCTCTGTTCCTCTCGAATTCATTGCAGTACATCAGCTTTGTCTCTAGTCTGAGAAATGAGGCAGAGGAGGACGCGAGGAGAGCAGGGCGTGGTCGCGAGCGTATTCGACTCGAGGTTTGGAAACGAGGCCACCGGACCGATGTCATTATCTCGCAATTCTCTGACGATCTCAGGAATAATTGATTGGGAAGAGAGAGGGAAAATGAAAACAAGTTAGGGGAAGAGAAAACCTGCTCCAAAAATCAGATGAGGGTTATCCTGCACCTCCCTCTATGGAGTGTGATGTGCCAAGCATGCGCAACAGGTTCGAATATCCCACTTGGCCAGTCCAGCATACTATTCAGTGCAGGCAGGCTGAGTGTGTGGTTTCATAAAGTGAATTCGCTTTGACTTGATTAATTTTCCTATTTTCAGATTCACTCCGACGTACGTGCTTCTTGTTTGTCCGACTAGCAGTCGAGTTTAGAAGGGAATTTTAATTCTCGTGGATAAGAAATGAATTAGGAAGCGCGTGAATTTGATAGCAATTTGTAGGCCTATGTGAAGGGTGTTCAGTAAGCAACCATGTGCCACATGCTCCGAAGAACATACATTGCCGGCAAAAAAAAAAAGAAATAGAAACATGAGCGACGCTACAGCCGCCACTTTAGTCATTTATCGGAGACATCGGGGTATGTAAAGGATTAATCACTCTCCGATACCCTGCGTTCCGGTGGCGTGATACGATCATTTGACCGCACCTCAGTTAGTACTCTGTATGGCCTTCTCTGGCCGTGATACAAGTTCCAGACCTGTGCCAAACGACGCTCCCAATGGTTCTTATACCTTTCCATATCACGTGGTCGTCACATGATTTTATCGCGCCACCGGGATGCCAGATATCAGAGAGCGATTGATCATTTGCATACCTCAATGTCTCCAATAAATGACCCAAGTTTGGCGGCTGTAGCACCGCTAGTTCTAGGTGTTCCTTATTTTTTTTGCCTGCAGTGTATTTAGCCGCAAAGATTGCAAGTAGACCTACTGAAACTGCGTTGCCCTGGAAGAGTTTCCAGTTGAGGTTAGGAATATGCTGAGTTTGGCGGAAAAATGCAGAAAAGTATTTTTTTTTTGCAAAAAAATAATTTTCAAAATTTCGTACTAAATGGCAAGTTTGAAGCGTGACGTTCACGCTTCAATCTTGCTTTTTAATTAGGTCTGAATATTCTGTAAACTTTTCATAGAGTCGATGTTATAAGTTCTTGTTTTCCACTAGTACAACAATGAGGAAGAACTGAATTTTCAGTGATATCAGTGGGAGACCTTTTGGCAGGTGCCTTTCGACCATGTGCAACATCGGAGTGACGCTGCTTGAATTGCTGGAGTTTCCGATGATTCGGTGTTCATATTAATAGGAGTCTGGTTGTAGACTCGTTTCCCATCCATGAAAGCGAATAGAAACAATGAAAGTCCAGGTGCAGCTTTACCTTTGTCCGCAGCCTTTGGGCTGCTTGCGTTAGCACAGCTTCATCGAAAGTTTATTTTTTTTGGTGGTGTGAATGGTAAGTGGGAACCCGTAGAAAAAGCTTTAGGCTTCTTTTAAAATTGCCTGCATGCATAATCCCCCAGTCCGACAGGCTTTTAGTGTTAATGCACGGGACTTGTAAAGATACTTCTACGGGGTGCGGGGGATTTTTTTTTCACTAGGCACTTTATAACCATTCATTTATTAAGAAACGAGGTAAGAGCAGCAGTGTGTAGATAGGACGAATACCCACTCTTTTATCATGGTACCCATTTACCAAGAGGGCCACTTCTGAATTGGGCTTATTTTCTCTCTTTCTCTTGTGTTATGAACTAGTACCTTTTGAGGTACTGGTAACTTCGTGAAAGTCAGAAAAGGACTAATCGAGGACCTCGCGAAGTCATAAGTGATAGTAAGATTCAAACCGCTACTTTCGTTTAGAAGCTCACGTTTATTACAAAGCCTGAGCGATAGCAAGCACCATCTACAATCCAGGAAGTCATTTACAAACAGCAAATCAATAATAAAAATTTTTTTAAGTGTTGCAACCTCAAGCAGTCAGTTTTGTCCACGAACTTGAACGGAATATGAAGATAATGCCCAGAGAAGGGAACAAAGAGGAGTTTAAGTCCTCTGGTATTGTCCAGAAAGAGGGACCCGGGAATCCACTGCTTTCGCGAGGAATGAAATGGGGACTTTCCTGGTGGGCTGGGAGACTGTTTGCAACATGGAACGCTCGGTTTCCTATTACACTCGATGACTCAAGAGGAATGGATAAATTCTTGATGCATTTTCAGAGGAGACCTTCTTGCGACTAACATTGCTAAGTCAGAATTTTTTTCGTTCCCATTCTACTTCTTGGAATTGTTTACTTTGAACAACTTGCTAAAAAAAACTCCAAAGGTACCCAATTTTCTTCACATAGACACAGTAATGACTGGCCCAAATGCTGAAACCTCATTTAGGGGAGGTAAAGGGGCCTTTAGGCTAAAGAGCTCTTTTTTCCGGTAGGAGTCCATGGACCGTTAACTAAAGGAGGTTGCAACATTCAAACCTAAGAGTATACTTTACAGAGGTCACCTGTAAGCCTACTTAAACCCTCACATCACTGTATGGAGTCGATACGCCTAAGAACCAACGCTCTCATCGCGAAATAAGGTTTAGATTCCCTATATGTTTTTAAATGTTTATTGCATGCATCTTTCGGTTATTAGTTGTGGGGAACTGGTTTCAATTAATGCAGCCATTCATGTTGAAGGCACTGCGCAACACAAGCATGTGCCAGTTCTGAGGATTGGGAGTGTAGCCAAACACCCCTCGACGTGTGACAGGCGAGACAGGAGGGAAGAAAAATGTGTCCCCGGAAATAGAATCCAGTGCAGGCACATCCCAGTGTCTTGGCCTCACACACCCTCTCACGCCACAGCACGATCTTGTTATCGTCCTGAACTGAAGAAGTGCAGTGCGTTCAACGGAAAGCAGAATGTGAAACGTCTTGGTGAAGTACGTGGTCCACATGTGCTGAGAAACGATACTCCGACGGGGAAATCTAGCAGTGCCGAGAACTCTGCAGCTACTTATTTGACTCCCTTGTCACACAATAAAGCAAAACAATACTTTTTTCGAATGGCTTAGGCTGAAAATGAAGTAGTTTTTATTTTACTGCTGTAAAATAAACTACGCCCGTGGCGGTATAATAATTTTTCTGAGTTTTCTCACAGGGACACAATATGGTGAAGTGAGATAGGGTGATTTGTGACGAAAGAAGTGAAAAATGGAGTTTCGCGTGGTGCAGCTCCTTGCGTCTTTCACCCTCTTCTTCAGTTCTACCTCTTTGCCTCAGCAGATTCCTATCGGTGAGTCACTGGGAAACTGCGACAAATTACGAAAATACAGAAATAATATTTTATATGAAATTTTACAAGTAAACCGAAGACGGGTAGTACGGAAGTACGGGTGTTGTTTGTTGCGGATGAAAAACCTCCCAAAAGAAAAGAATCCCGAAAAAAGAAACGAAAGAATCGATCAATTCTTTTGTTCTGCGTAGACCCTGATGAATATCCTCACGAATTTCGTGGCGCAGAAACTGCAAATTAAGGATTTTACTCGACGGGGATGAACCGGCCTTGATAATATTCTTACGGGTGTTATTCTCTCTCCACAATAAAATACGCCATTAGACAGTATGATTTCGCTGTATATGTTACTATGTATGAGCAATGAGTTGATGCAGTTAGGCTTTATGGACATGGATGTTGTCGTAGAATCGTAAAACAGTGTAACTTCGCCATGGTTTTACATGTTTCTGGTGGCACACCAGCTTTGCTGCAGGCAATTTTAATTATGGGTGGCGCTTTGAGATACGAGGGTTGTCCGAAAAGTTCGCTGTATTGATTTTTTTAAATAAGTTACACTCGATTAATCTGTATTAAATTTCGGCCAGCACTGGTTGTATCTAATAGTACAGGGTTGTGCAAAAGTTCCCGTACACTTCGATTAGCGCTTCGATTCTCTTTAGGCATCATAGCTCCAGAGAAAAAAAAAATTAAATAAAGACTGAAATTTACTATAATGAAAACATTTCGTATCAATAATGTCCGTAGAATTAAAAAAAATCACATCAGAATCGGCAAAAATCCGTTGATTAGTGAAAAAAATTAATTTTCAAAGTGCACAGGAACTTTTGCACGACCCTGTATTCGCTGTGCGAAGTTTGGTATAACTTTAGCTACATTTACACTGCCGGATATTGCATACAAACACGATGAACGCCTCCGTCGTGCAAGAATCATTCTCGAAATATGATATTCGAGTCATCATCAAGTTCCATGCTCTGCTCAACAACACACTGACAGAAATCCATCAATTGATGTCAATGGCTTTGGGCCAACTCTGTCCAGCTTACGAAACGATCCGGAAGTGGTCTGACTCGGAATTTCGGATGAACGGTTTTCTTGAAGGAGGCCGGCGACTTGCTGGTGTTGAAGCAGAAACTGGTCGCCCACTTCGTGGCCCATCTTCAAGGTCCGTCTTCCCCTCCAGGAAGAGCTTTGACCACTTCCGGAGCGTCTCGTAAGCTGGACAGTGTTGGTCCAAAGCCCAAAGCCTAGGTTCGGGTCAGGTCGGGTCGGGAAGTTGTGCCGATTTTTTAAATTTAAATCTTATTTATATGTTGGGGGAGCGGACGCTGCTGAGCATCTCTCTTTAGCTCTCCTTGCCTAGCACCCCCTTCCACCTTCGCTCAGCATCTCCAGTTAACCGGAAGTTTTTTTTTGGAAGGGGGGGGGGAGACCTCATGAAGATCCTGCTCAGGGCGTACATAGATCAAGCGCCAGTCCTGTTTCATGCTCATTATGCCATTCAGAAAGAAATTGAAAGCATGGATAATTTTAATAATATTAAATATTTTTTTTTACCCTTGTAAGCCAGTGGGGAAATGAACCTTTCGATTCCCAGATGCATCTATGAATAAATCTCTCAATGCATGGTCGCGTTCGCGTCGCTCTCCTTCGACATAATGTCCATTCGTTGGCAAATGTTTCGATATTCCGATACCAACCGATAACAGTCAGTTGAAAAAGAAAGAACACTGTCCACGCTGTAATTTCAGTACGAACACCTAAAACACATACGAGGGTGGTTCAAAAATGTTTGACCAAATAGCAGAAAGAGTCATTTGCAAGCAACAATATACTGTATTGTATTTACACTTTTTCCACATAATCACCGCCGATATCAATGCACTTTTGCCAGCTTCTCTGCAGTGCACGAATTCCCTGCAATTAGAAGTATTTTCATCTGTCACCAAGCGCTGAACGGCTGCCACAGATTCTACTGTGGTGCTGGTTGTAGGTCGCCCTGTGTGTTCATTATCATCTTGGAGACTGCTCCTGCCATGAAGAAATGCATGATGCCACCTCTTCACTGTGTACTGTGAAGGGGCCGCATCAAATTATACAGCTTCCTATTCCTGATGGATTTGTTTACAGTTCAGCAAATTTTTAATGAGAAATTTCATCACCGCGCGGTACACCAACTTGTTCATAGCTGCAATGAACATGCAAAGTGTTATGCTCAAATGTTATGGGTAACGAATAAAAATGTGTTATTTCTGCTGGAAGGTTCTAGAAAGTTTATTAATGCAAACAAACAAAATTTATTTTCAAAACCTTCTCTTTTACCCTTTTGGTAAAAAATTTTTGAACCGCCCTCGTATGTATTCAATATAAGGCATATTGCTCACTTCCTGACCGAAAAATGTTCCCCGAAAACAAAATAAGAGGAAGTATTCATAATAAAGTGGAGGTAAAAGCTAAAAACATAAACTGGCGAAGTTTTACTTATGGACTTGCATTCAACTGACACTCAAATGTATTGATTAGCTTATACAGGGTGGGCCAAAAAAGGTATCCAATTTCAAAATGAAATTACAGGATAACCATACAAAATAGGATTGAATAATAAAATGCATTGAGCAGACAAGAGTAAAAGTTATTTTAAACTATTTCAATAAATAATCCTTTTTCTGCTGCAGGTTCAAAATGCCGCAATTAAGTTTACAACAAAGAATCGTTATCGTTGTTAATGCATGTTATTATTCAATCCTATCTTTTATGGTTATCCTGTAATTTCATTTTGAAATCGGGTACATTTTTGGTCCACCTTGTATTAGCGGTTCTCAATATTTACTTTAAAATAGCACACCTTTCGAGTATAAGTGAGAAATAGGAGGAATGGCTGGACCATTTTTCCTGCGCGTCGAGGTTGCCACCAAGGACTTTTTGTGTGACAGCTAAAAAACCGCTCTCTTACTAGACTGAACGGCGTACATACCTCGTACTACCCTTAAGCAACTCGGTGCACTGACAGTGGAATCGAATCTCTTTCTGTTGTTGCCCCGACCTCGTCCTCGAAATAATTTCAGAGCAGGTATGTCCGAGAGAAAGAAACGTCATGCAGAGACGGAACCAGGTGATTTCTTCGGCGTCGATTTCTCTTTCATGAGCATGGAAATAAGTATGAGGTACGGCTTCGCCCATAAGCTTCCAGCCCAGTCTGAGTGAAGAGTTATTTGAATGAGTGAAATCAGGGTCCCCATTGTCGTTTATTTTTTCAGCTTTCGCTAAAACGAGAGGTATCACGAACGCTGGTTTCTTAGGGTTTGGCAAGGAAGGTACAGACAAGGTAAAGGTGAAAGGGGAGTATCGAGTGACAGATTTGGACTGCCTGCCGAGAGGAGTTCGTCACTTGGATCTCTTCCAATTCCAACATTCCTCAATCACATGCACATACACGCGGTGAAGGAGAGAGGAGAAGGATACAGCCAAGTTTCTTCGTTACAGTAAACACTCTACACACGTCAAACACAATATTATCTAGGCGTTGTTTGCAGTCATACTCTGCTTGGCACATTATGAATAGTCCCAAAGGCAGCAATTGCATGAGCTCTCGGAATCTCAAATTTGCGACCTTTTTTCTTATACGGTACTTTCCCCGCAGACTACAAGGTGTATATGGAAATTACATTTTTCTTCCTTCCCTAGCAGTAGCGTTTATCTCGCAAAGGATACATTGTAAATGATTAATACAAGGGTGGTTCAAATGAAAACAGCAAAAGTGAATAATTATTTATAAATATGAATTTAATTTAAAATATTTTACAAGGGGAAGTTGCTTTGCTTTAGTTGGCACCCCTGAGTGTGATTGCCATTTCTTTGCATAGGTGATCAGTAAAACATTGAAGATTCAAAATGGCTACGAGTCTGAATAGTTGTACCAAGATGGAGATGAGAGCAGTTATAAGATTTTTGAATGCAGGAGTTAAACCTAGTGAAATACATCGCAGGATGGTTAATGTGTATTATGAGAAATGCGTGCCACATAGGAGAGTGTTTGAATCGGTCGAAGAGTTAAAAAATGGAGTCCATGACGTTGAAGATGCTGCTCGACCTGGCCAGGAAAGGTGATGTTAATCGTATTTTGGGATAAAAGAATTGGGTTATTTTGGAGAAGAAAGGGACAACTGTTACACTGAAGGGGACAACTGTTACACGAAGAAGGGGACAACTGTCAACAGTGCTTCGCACTGCGATATGCTTATGAGCCAGCTGAAGCCTGCAATCTGAACCAAACGTCTAGGGTAGATCTCGAAAGAGGTTTGTTAACAGCACGACAATGCCCGTGCAACTGTCGACACCACTAAAGATCTACATTTTGAAGTGGTACCACATCCCCTTATTCTCCCCAAATGACTATCATCTTTTCGGACCAATCAAAGAGGCATTGAGTGGAAAGTATAACGTGTATTGAAAGAGCAGGAGACTATGTTTAAAAGTAAAGAGATTCCTTACCTAAGTTTCGATAAATAATTTTTTAAATTTAATTTTGCTGTTTTATTTTGAACCACCCTCGTATTTTAATTTTCAGCGTAAGAAAATTCTTTGTTTTGATAATGTTATCATAATCGAGCGATATCTGCCATATGATGGTTTTGATGAAGAAGCAGAACCTTGCATGTCCTGGTACGATACATGGAGGGGTTAATAGCCAGAGATACCCCTCAGGATCATGAGAAAGTGCAATAGGCTCAACTAGAAAAATGTATTCATTGTTCTTTTCTCTACTTCGCGATCAAGCTTCTGGTGTTTTCCTTTTTCAGTTTTTTGCCTTTCACTATTAAGCCCCCCTCAACAGATTCTCGAGAAGGATGAACAAGTTCTTCGATGGTTCGCGCGTCCCCGTCGCGAAGATAGATCCCAGTGATCTGGAAGGCCGTAGTATCCAAGATCCTTCCATGATACTGTTAAGGGGTGGCCAAGAAGAGCCAAAACGATTCAAAACACTTTTGACGCGTTCGGCTCAGGAATTCCGTGCTGGATCGGTTGTCTCCCAGGATAATCAGAACCGCAATCGTCACTGTTTCCGAGGCGACTACCTATAAGTTGACCGGGACCGGATAATCCGATGTATCTTGGTGCGATGGACCCAGTCATGTAACCACCAGGCCTGAGTCATTCTTATCCACCTCAGATTGGAGTCAAATGGTCTTTGAGATATGCCCCTTGAAAGTTTGAGAGGGAATGTAAAATGACCGAAAATATCTCCCGAACGTCACAAGCTAGAAAGCTGGTTAATAGCTAATTTTAAAGAGAGTAACTAGGCATCTACTGTATAACTTTTTATTTGGGTACTTAATGACTTTTTATTTTCATGCTCTACGAGCATTGTCCAAGGATGTCCATTGGGCGAAGTTCTGCGAATTTGGAGAAGCTAATAGCTTGAACGAGGAACCTTTCTTTCAACACTTGATACCCCTCCCTCAAATTGCTCAAGACTAGCCTTCTCTGGACATGAATACGTTCTCAAAACCCATTTCAAGAAACGAATTCCTTCTTGCCAGATGTGAGGGGGCTCATTTCGTCACTTTCGAAGAAATTCCTGACAAAAACGGCTGTTTTCGTCGGGATTATTTTTCCAGGTTTAGGATTTGGCATGGACATGATCCCTTTCTGCTTCACAAATTCTTTTGCTTTGGGCGCCGTGAAATTAGATTCGCCAAACTCGTATTGAATTTTCATAATGCTCCAACTTTGAGGAAGAACTGTCAAGACTTGCATCTTCACTCTTCTCTCTGTGGACTCGGAATTTTTCCTTCTGTTGGCTGATGATTTCATTTTATGGACAATAATGCGGCAGTAAGTGACTAAAAATCTTGAGAGAATGTACTAGAAAATTCTGAACTCATCCAATTTGAGCAAAATTGCAGACATATATATTCCACTTGCAGTAGTCAGAACTATCAGGTGTATTTGAGAAAGTTTATGAAATTCTAGAAGGTTCTAGGAAGTTATTATTGTGTTTGAAGGTTCCAGGGGATACAAAAAAAAAGAAATTAGGGAGTTTTGGTTACCCGTTCTTGAGAGGACGGCAAGGGATGTAGGACGGCTGACGTCACTGGTGACGTCACCAGCAGTTTTAAAACGCATGAGAAGACGTCTAAGACGTGGAAGGGCCTTTCCGGCCATTCCCCCAGGAACGTGATCACGACGCAACATCTACCAATCAGGAACGACTTGATAGTCGCGTGAGCTTCGTTACAGCGCGTGATAGTTGCGTGATTCGTTTAAGTCGTCATCCAGGAAGGAAAGCTACTATTGATAGCGAAGCAGATGAAATTCAAGGTACAGTATGCCCAGGCGGGGTTTCTAGACAATTGTCTCACATCCACAACTTAGGTTTCTAGCCAAATACCCCCCAGGAGAGCAACTGACATGTCCTCTTCGCCATCAGAGGAGTATAATGCAACCAGGACATGAACTTCAGTTTGCCAGAAGAGACGGACAGAAAGGAAGCATTATATATTGTTGGGGATAGTGAATGATGGGAGAATGGGACAGAGGAACTCTGGTCGCAGTCAAGGGTTGCAAGGTCTACATGCGACCATGATGAACTAATATCAGAGAAAGGAATCAATAACGTTAATCCAGTAGGTTAACTGAAACAGTCATTCCTATTGTGAAACCCCTTCTTAACCCTTTCATGAAGTATGATCATTATGAGGATAATATATTTTAAGACTGCTCTTGCGTTACTGTATTTGAAATACCGGTTTGAAATTGCACTGTTTACAGTAATAGCTATCCACAATGGCTATTTGCGGATACATCGTTTCTTCAAACAGGCTATTATTCAAGCATATTGGATCATAAGCAAGGTTGTGAAGAGAAATTTTGAGAAATTTTTCTTGTTATCATCAAATTTTTATTAAATTGTAACTATTTTCTAATTAAGGCACAGCAAAACCCATAGAAAAAGTTATAGATGCCTGGCTACTTGCTTTAAAATTAGCTATTAACCAGATTTCTAGTTTTTGTAGTTCGGGAGATACTTTCGATCGTTTTACAATTCCCTCCCAAACTTTCAAGGGGAATAATCTCAGACCGTTTGACCTAGACAGCTGCAATTTGGATTCATCAGTTTCTCATAACCCCCAGTACACATGATTTTTACTGGCAAAATCCCTGACGGTGCAGCAACCAACCTCTCGAAAATTGAACCACTTGACATGGAATCGCTCATCTCTGATCTTGTAGAATTTTAATCATCAGAAAGCTTACTTCGTTGTTTTTTCTGCATTCTTGCAAGCTTTATTTTCTTTTATGTAAGTTTGTCTCCCATCAAGTTTATTTCCTTCTCTCATCCGCTAATCCACAAGCTTTGTTCTAAACGGTGCAGCCGGTCTATTCGACGGGACATCGGGAAGAGATGACAGGATGGGCATCTTAGAGCTGGCATTTCGCAATGCGGTAAAACGAATCAATGCGGACCGCTCCATCCTCCCTGGTTCCAGTCTCAACGAGAGCGTTTTCCACATCCTCCCCCGAGATAGCTTCAAGGCTTCCAAGAAAGGTATACGAGCTATGTCTAGTTTAACACGTTGGCCGCCACGGCAATGCTGGCCTATTGATTTTCCTATTCAGTGAGGCGCACCGGTGCGCCTCGTGGCGGTCAACCTGTTAACACGTTCGCTGCCGATGACACACCTCGTCTTTATCCTTTCCATAGAAACGAGCGTCATCGGCAGCGAACGTGTTAAATCGAACTTTACTTGAAGAGTATCCATAGATATTTATTCGTTTTCTATTCCTCTACTTTATATCAATCTTTGATACATTTCGTTGTGCTGTATATTTATCATAATTAATATTTTGAGTCTTTTGCAAAGAGTTCACTTTCAATTGTTTTTTCTTCATTTTTGAGTATGCGAGGTGATGAACCGGGGTGTAGTGGCAGTGTTCGGACCAAGGAACCCCCAGACATCAGGTCATGTTCAGAGCATCTGCGACACTCTGGAGGTACCCCACGTGGAAGCCACATGGTCCTCCGATTCCAATCGGGATTCCTTCTCCATCAACGTCTTCCCTCATCATAAGACTCTTGGAATGGTTGGTCTAATGGAGATAAAATTGTTCATAGGGATCTTGCAAAAGGGAGGGGACCTTTGTGTTCTCACTCATGTTCAGCTTGTCCCCACCCTAGGCCATATCCAGTCAAAAGAGCATTTACTTATACTGCTTGGACAGTCTAAATTCGAGGCATATTTTCTAAACTGTATTCAAGTCAATAGCCCGTCCAGGCCCAGAAAATACCACTTTTAATCCACAAAGAAGCTCAAATAGCTCGTTTGTACTAATCAATCCCTCAACTCCTTCCTTTCCTCTTCTCAATATGGCATTCATTCATGGCCTGAGGACAGCTTCAGTGCCGTCCTGCTCCAAGTTATGGAGGGGGGTAAGATAAAAATCACTCAGTATAAAATACAAAAAGTTAAACTTTCAAGTCCGCCTTTGTGGCCCGTTTCACGACTCTGTTCGGTCTCTGCTGGGCTGTAACAGGCTCTGACAGGTTATACAAAATGGCACCCCTTTAGGGGTCCATGCCGCCTGGTCCTTTCTGGGACTGGACGGCCTATAAGCCCACAATGTGATGGTCTTCATCAATCTAACTCATAAACGCTCTCGAGTTAGTATTAATATATTCTTCTCAGGCAAGGAGTCAGCGAATGAAGGAATTACTACAGTAAATAACACCCGTCTCTATTCACAGGCGTACCTGGATCTCTTGAAGGAATTGAACTGGAAGTCGTTCACTATTCTTTACGAAAGCAACGAGGGACTGGTGCGACTGCAGGAGATCCTCAAGGCCAAGGATCCTGAAAACTTCAAAGTCCTTGTCAGGCAGCTTTCTGCTGACGGCGACCACCGGTAAATCAACTATAGCATTCATCATTTTGGTAAATTCCCATGTGGTTTTTTCTTCAAATTTGGTTTTGGTGGAAAGGCCTTTGCTGAAGTCTCTGAAGAAAGCGGGTCAGACGCACATCTTGTTGGATTGCGAGACACCGAAGATCCATCAAGTTCTGACTCAGGCCCAGCAGATTGGCTTGATCACCGCTTATCACAATTACATCGTCACCTCCCTGGTAAAGACTCTGGTTCTCACATGATCATTGAATGACCCTCTTAGAAGTATAAAGCCAGAAATAGAAACTTTTATGAGCGACAAAGTGCTTAAGATATATCAAGTAGGTGTTCTGTACATCCAAATACCAATGATAATGGCGAAGGTGAAATATGCGAACAGAGCAGTCGAAAGGATGCAGAGCGTAAATATAGTAGAAAGTGTAAAAATCGAGAGAATGAAATTTACAGGTAAAAAAAGAATCATGCCAGAGTGGGACAATTCTATAATAAAATACACGCTGAAAAAAGACACGACTTGAAAGTCCTATTTAATGAGACTCCAATAAAGCAATTAAAATCATTTGCACTGCAGGACCTTCACACTGTGGATTTGGAGAACTTCAAATACGGAGGGACGAACATCACAGGTCTCAGGTTAGTGAACACCGAGGATCGGGTGGTCCAAGATGTCTTGGCTGACTGGGACACTGCTATCCCCTTTCTGCGTGACTACAGCCACTCGTATACTCCAAAGTCCCAGATCTTCTCCTCTACTTCCATTTCCGTCAAATCCTTGACAGTGAGTCCAGAAACGAGCCCTGTTCAATCATTAGCCCCTGTAAATATCCTTGAAGGGGGATTCGGGATGTAAAAGGCGCGAAGGGAGAAGAATCGAATGTGATGCCACTCCTGATGGAGTGGGATCACATTCGATTCGTTTATGGAATAGGAGTTATTTTCCAAAATTATTTATATTGGATGAATGAATCAAATCCGATACCAATAATATTTCGAAGTGAAAATAAGGGAATAGCACTGCAAGAAGCCAATTATGCAGTGGTACAGAGTGTTATTCTTGAGGGGCGCTAAAATCGCTGGCGGAAAGAAGTGATTTTTTAGTTCGGACTAAACACATGGCTTTGAATTGGGAATAGGGTATGTCAGGCTCTTCTTGAATTAATGTCTCAGATGCAACAGGCAAGGCACACAGTCAAGGTTCAGTTCAAAATAGAACATCCTGATTATTTACCTTTCAAATTGATAAATATATTGGAAGTACGAGGTGCGATCCAAAAGTTTCGGGAATTGACCGCTAGAGCGCCACCTGTTGAAGCTAACATTAAAACGTCGCGTAGGAATAGTGGTGAGTCCGTTATGTTTCAAATGATATGACCTTGACCAATGTAGGACCCTTCAGTTGGCACCCAGAGCAATTTAAGTGAGGTCGTGTCTAAGTGCATCTGCGATGAGCCGTCACGAGCAAAGAATTTGCGTGAAATTTTGCGTTAAATTGTGCAAAAAACGGTCAGAAACTTGTCAAATGCTGAAGCGAGCTCATGGCGTGGACGCAATGAGCAAAACAAGAGTTTACGAGGGGCATGAAAAAATTGCTGGCATGAAAAAACAGCTGGTGAAGAACTAAGAGTCGCCTTCCTCGACCATCATTCCATCATTCCCACATGAAGCTGGAGTGTGAAATATCACTCGATATCCTCCAGCGTACAGCAATCTTGGGCACGGCCAATATCCTTCGCCATGTCCTTCAGAATTAGGCGAGTATGAGGACTGGGATGTGGTTCATCCCCCCTCATACCTCCAATACCGGCAGTCGCCATGGATGGATTTATTTCATATATATTAGTATATATCGTTTTTTATATTTTGTATAAATTTATCCCTTCATACCATATATTTTATATTACAAATTTAATTACATAACTGAAGATTACAAAACTGACTGGTGAGAGAAGGCCTCCGACGGAATTGAACCATGTTTAATTGAGTCAATAGTAGTGTAATATGGGGCGCAAAGTCACGAGAATCCCAAAAAATTACCATAGAAGCAATGAAAATGCAATGTCCGTTGAAATACACATGTGGTCTGAAAGGGTTAAACAATTGAATTTAAGCTTTCCAGTAGGATTAAATTAAGCTTTTAATTCATCTGAGATGTCATGTGCAAGAAAAGAAAACATGAGGTTCGATCGTTGTTGTTAGACAATAGTTGTGTAAGTAAACTGACACTCTTTCTAATTAAAAGATGCAGAGAAATCGTAATTATACATGAATAAAAGAATTTATCAAAAGCCAATGTCATCTCTGAGACTGCCTGCCATCTGCGCCCAGCCATTTTGGAGCACCTCATGGTGAAATATCTAGTATGGATCAGCGAGCAAATTGCTCGTTGTCTACTATTTTTCATAGTGTAGCTTTGACATGTAATTGTATTTGAAGCTGTAACATTTTTTCAACTTTGCAAGAGTCTTCCTTGTTCATTTGAAATGGGATGTGTTGAGAAGCATGGGCTCGCTCGATATCAGATGAAGAAATTTAAAAAGGTACCTATTTTTCCCGAGACAGGGTATGTTTACTTCAATCATTCTGCGAGCATTCACTCTTCCTTATGTGCCCCACTCTCGTTTCTATCATCCCCATTTTTTAATTTCCCTAATTGTCTCGAGGACCGCACAGAAGCCTCTCCGTGGGCTGTCCTTTGTGCATCCCTGCTTTAAAAAGTCCAGCAATCGGCAAAGTGGCGCATTTTCTTTTCTTTATGGCCCGTTTGACTCCCCCATGCAGCACAATGACGTATTTGAATTTCCGTGTCTCAATTTGACTTTTTTGCATTCTAATTTGACTTGAAAGAATCCTAGAAAGGTTGTATATACTTTTTAAGACGGAGGCAGCGTTGCTGTACGACGCAGTGCATCTGCTGGCAAAAGCTCTGCACGACCTGGACAACATCCGAGCGATCCAAATCTCTCCTCTCACCTGCAACTCCGACGACGTATGGACTGAGGGCCGCACCCTCATCAATTATATGAAAATGGTGAAGTCAACACTTTCTTCTTAGAGAATTAATCACTTCTTTTGCAAACTGCAATGCCCTCCCCATAGAGAATTCGCTTCTTTATGAAGTTCCTATCACTCTATAGCATTTAACCTTGTGCTAAGTTTTCACTCAGTTAACAAAATTGACCTATGCCTAGCCCCGACTATATTAATAGAATTTGCCTGTGCAAAGTCCTTACTCTAGTGGTAGAATTTGCTTGTTCTCTTCAGGAGTAGGCCTATTCCATATGAAGTCCCACTCTATTGCTAGATGTTTCTTACGGAAAGTGCTCATTTTATGTAATAAATTCAGTCATGTGACGAGAGAAACAAACTCCATGAAGTTGGGCACAATAATTATTGATTGGTTTCTTTTCATTTCTTGTCCTTGCCAATGTGAACGCATTTATAATTTTATTGATGGTGTATAGACAGAGATGCGTGGTCTATCTGGGATTGTCCGATTTGATGGGTCTGGGGCTAGGTCCAATTTCAATTTGGACATCCTGGAACTAAGCAAACAGGGCCTCAAAGTCGTGGGTCTTTGGGAACCGGGGAAAGGGGCTAATTACACCCGGAACTGGAAGGACCTTCAACGCCAAATTCAAGAGAAGCTTGAAAACAAGACTCTCATCGTCACTACGGCCCTGGTATTTCATTCTGTTGGTTTTTACATTTAAGAGGTAGTCATTCCATCCTAAATTATGAAGTACCTTAGACGTTTTTTGCGAACTTTAAATTTCTTTCCATTTTATGTATTTATTTACTCCTTCTTTGCACCTGGGATTCATTTTCTTAAGCTTCGCACTAGTGAGAAAGTTGAAAATGTATCGTCTTCAATTTCTCTTGACTTTATTCGATTCCTCATATGCCTACTTTAACCCTTTCACGGGTACGCACTGAAATGTCAGTATTGCCCTAGGTTGGCCTGCCAGAGCTTTTAAGCATATCGTATCTAAATCTTTTGCAAATTGATTCCAATGTATTTCCTAGATAAGTCAACAGATTAATGGGCGAAATCGCACATAGGCGCATGCTTTCATTCTATCCTTAAAAAAAAAACTCACTCTGGGCGAGTTCACTAAGTCGGAAGAACTTACTCGTGAAGGGTTAAAAAATATTTTCTGTGTCGGCAATCTGGTATGCTCTTTCATATAAAGCTTTTGATGGGTGGATTCCAGAGTTCTCCGTATACGATGGAGAAGGAGAATAAAGAGCATCTGGAGGGGAACGACCGATTTGAGGGATTCTGCATGGATCTGATCGATGAGATCTCTCAGATTCTTCACTTCAATTACACGTACAAACTCGTAGACGACGGATCCTACGGGGCCAAGGACAAGGACACTGGGGAATGGAATGGCATGATCAGGGAACTCCTTGATAGAGTGAGCTTATGTTATTCGCCTTTCAGTGCGCACCTTTCCAAAAAGAAAAGGAACCACATATAGTTCTGTCTTGTCCGTCTGTCTGTCACAGGTCCCATTCTCTGCAACGAAAACGGGACTCATGGGCAAGATATAGGCCGATTTTGTTGAAATTCTTGTCAAGCGTGTTATTTCTGCCTTCGTTATATTGTCCAATTTAGAGGGTGACTCATTTGTAAAGTTACCGGATGAATGGTGCTCTCCTGAAAAAAAAAGCTAGTAGCCGGAATGAATTGAAAATTGGAGAAGGGCTACTGGGAACATGCGTTACTCGTACTTGGTGATGAACGCCGTTGAGAGTGAGATCATCAGCATCTCCTTAAATGCATCATGTGATCAACCAAACGGTATTTTATGGTGGCAGTGCCTCATGCTGCCTACAATGCAGCATAAGTGGCTACTGTGCTAAAATTCCAGACTAGAATGGAGCTCGTTGAGCGATATTATGAGAATGGCGGGAATGCTGACCCTTACGAAAAGATCCTATAGGATCCTATAAGATTTTTGAAACATAAAAATCTCATAGAATTCCTATAGGTTTATTATAGGGTTCTTATAGGATTCCTATAGGATTGTTATAATCCTATAGGATCCTAACGGAACTCTATGGGATTCCTATAAGAATCCTATAAGATTTTTATGTTTCAAAAATCTCATCGGCGCACTAGCTTCATTGCAAACGTTTCCAAGCGAGAAAGACGCGCAGTGTGAGTGGAAATGGAGGTGATTCAAGGCTGCGCAGAAAATGAATCCGACTTTGGCATGATCAGCACCTGGGAGGTTACGCGCAGCTCTGATCGGTCGATGGTAAGATAGTAGTGCCCTCACTCCCCACTGTTTAAAGTTTTTAATCTTTCCATACGATAGTATTTATAGGAGACCTGCCATTTATCGGTTAACTTTACAAATATGTCACGCTGTTACCATATTTCTGCGAAGCCTATCGTGCTCTTTGTGGCTGAACTTATCGCGATATCTTGAGAGGGAAGTTTTTTCTAGTAGGTCTAGTTCGGATATTTTAAAAGCATTTTTCGCTCATGCACTACATGCACAGTTCTTTGATTTAGTCTCATAACATTTTTCCCTAGAAAGCTGACCTTGCTATAGCAGATCTTACTATCAGCTATCAGAGAGAACAAGCTGTCGATTTTTCCATGCCATGGATGAACTTGGGTGAGTATCAAGGAAAGAATAAAAATTTTTTCAGACTACGTGAGGTGATTGACCTGTCAATTGGTGTAAGTGGCGCCAAAAAAATATTCCCTTTTGCAGGCATCAGCATTTTGTTCAAGAAACCGACGAAGAAGGAGCCAAATCTCTTCAGTTTCTTGTCCCCCTTGAGCATAGACGTCTGGATCTACATGGCCACGGCCTATCTGGGCGTTTCAGTACTCCTCTTCGTACTCGCCAGGTGATGTGCCTCAAAAGTAATTTCAAGTCAGAACAGTTTGACACTTTTTCCGTATGATTGGTTTCACAGAACTTTTTTCGAAATTATTTCTCCTTTATGCAATTTGTCACTTCAATATCCTTTTTACCTTGTTGCATTATTTTCACAATAGCAAACCAAGCCAAAATGAGCCAAAAATGATGCTTGCTGCTTGTTCAGCTATATGGATACATTATGATTTGGCTCTTCTCATTTGCAGATTTAGTCCGTACGAATGGGATAACCCTCACCCATGTGTAGAGGATCCAGATGTGTTGGAAAATAAGTATAACCTCTTGAATAGCCTCTGGTTCACCATAGGCAGTCTAATGCAACAAGGCTCTGATATCGCTCCCAAGTAAGCAGATATTTGTCTGAGATCGGGGAATGCGGGTGCGCTTCTTTTTTCGTGGAGAATTCACCCCATCTTCTCTGCTCCTTTTTTCCATAGAATGTGGGGAATGCGCTTATTCTCTCTACCTCCATCCTTTTACTTCATATTCCTTCCGTCTATGAGCAATGTGGTGCTGACGGACGTAATCTCACTATGTCTCATTCCTCACGTCTTCACTCATTCCTTTCATCTAAGCAGCTTTACCCTCATTTTCGCTTTTTTTTTCATGCTTTCTATCCTCGATAAAATTGTGCAAATGGCAACCAACGATGTCGAACAGGGTCCGACATCAGACCTGAAAGGATTAAAAATCGGTCATTTACCTCGCTGAGCTCTTAGGCTTCTTGACGTTCCATCCTGTCTTCATATTTATATATTCATATAATCCTGTCTTCTGTTTCGTGTTCGAACTGTTTGTTGGCTTGAGCGGACAGGGATATGTTTTTTATTAAAGGCCTGAGGATAAAAAAAAAACTTTCAATCAGCTCGTACTGACGTCTCTCGCAGGAGAATAGAGACCTCGTCCACAAAGTCACACTGATTAATTAAAGAAAAAATGGACAATGCCTGACCTCTTTCCATTTCCCTTTTCCCTTTCTCTTTATTCATTCACGGTTATTGGTAATGGTAATTAATGTTTTAAGTAAAGGAAGGGTGGACGATATAGCTATGAACATCCCTGGAGTAAGACGAACCGCGGTCAAAGAACTTCTACGGAAGTAACTGCAATAATAATGTATCAATATAATTAAATGCATTCTCTATTTTATTTTCTCAATAGAACCCTCATAACTTCCTCCAAATTCTAATAAGATAGCCCGCACACATTTTCTGTTTTTATTTATGGTGTCTGTGAGCTAGTGAAGCTGTCATGTCAGATACGTATTTTGTTGAATGGGGAACTCACATTATTCCAGGAACCGAAAAGATACGTGAGTTTCCCTTAGGTACCAATGATGACTTAATGATAGTTGATAAAATTGCATGTTTTCCTTTCATGATCAAATGCAGCTCTTATCCAGTCTTTCACAAATCGTAAGAATTTTTTTTTATGTGCTGAAGCAAGGACATAACAAGCGACAGATCACATGTTAACAGGGCAACGGTACAGATACCGTTGCAGTATCATGAATAACGACTTAGGAACGTTCAAATTGCATGGCCATGTCAATTATTGGTGACTGCCCTGTAATTCAGTGCTTGGTCAATTGAAGAGCCGCAACCACATACATATCATCTACATCACATGCTGGTCTCATGTGATTTATGACCACAGGAATAAGTCACGCCCTTGCTTATCCCAAATCCCATGTTACATTTTGGGTTCAAGGGGGTGGCTCCGTTCACCACATGGAGTGATCGGATGCTGTAAACACATGAAAAGTTCACACCCTTGCCGACACCCAATTCCATGTGAAATGGAGTGTGACAGGGTGTGGGATATATCAATAGGGCATCCGTTCGAATCGCGGGTTGTCGGATCTATGCGGCACCCACCTAATGAGGGGGTAATGAGGGTGAGAAATGGGAAGCCTCAATCAAATTGGCTACCCCCGAATCCAAGGGCGATTCTGCATCTTTTTTTTTTTTTTTGGGGGGGGGGGAGAGGTAAGATGCCTCCTGCCTGCCCTGTATGAGGAAAGGTATTTTTAGAATTTTGGGAAGCAAAAGGTTGAAAGGAGCGGAAGCTCTGCCACTGGTTTCCTTCTTCACTCTCCCTATCCCTTCGTTACTCATGCAGTTTACCTTTTTCCCAGAGCATCGCAACTAATAGCTAATGTCTTCCTTTGCTTATCTTTCAACCTGCGATTCGAACGGATGCACTATACATGATCACATGGCAGATCACATGCTTTTCACATGTGACATAACATGTGATTAGGTGTGATTTTTCCGTGTGGGACTGTACAAACTGACAGAAAAAAGATTCGAACATGGAGCCTAGTAGCAAAATGCATATCATGAAATATGAAAGCTCTATCACTTTCAACTCCGAAGATACCCTTGAAAGAGCATTTGCCGCATCTCAAATGTCGCGTCCCTTCATTTTGGAGGGGAAAATTAAATTGCGATGCGTAATAATAAAAAATATATATAAATTGAAAATCATTTTAGAGATTTTGACGAAAAAATTTGACAGGCATCATCAAAAAAGCGTTTGAAAAACCATTAAATTGTATTTCTATTACTGGTCATTTAGCCACAATGTAGAAAAAATCCAATAAAGGATTTTTTAATTATAAATTCCCTAAAAGTTCGGACATTTTGGGTTAATTTCTTTAACCCAGAGGAAAACGTCTGGAGGATAGGAGATGCATAAGGCTGAATCGAAACCTGTTGATTCCATGCTTTCCGATGACCCCAGAAGAATGAGAAATCCAAAATATCAGGAAGTTCATGGAAACTGAAAGTCTATGTTCTCATGTTGGTCTTCTCCGGATCGGAGTTAAAAAGCTGTTTAGAGAAATAGGCAATCTCCGGTGACTTCTTCTATTATATGTATTTTTAAGTCTAAATGTTCTGAAAATTACATACTGTATGACTATAATCGCAAGACACGTATATTTCCAGCGAAGACTGTATTTCATTGGTGGTTGTAGTGGCTCTATTAAGGGTAAACTTACTTTGAATGGAAAGGATTTTCCTGTCTCTATTGTTAAGTTAAAAGCCGCTGCAGTAAATATGTCATTTTCTCAGGAAAATCCCTGTCGAAAGCGCGACCCAAATACCTGAAAGTTGACCACTTGTGCTAGAATGCCTCAGGCCAATTTAATTCATTGGGTGACTCAACAAACTGTATTTTAACAGATAGAGTCTTTTATTTCTATTGAATCATTTATTTAAATGACGTCACACGAGCCTATTCTTAGCCATTCAGAAATAGGTTTTTTTTTTAATGCTACACGAGATGTTAGTGACCGAAAATCTCCATAAGTTTCAAGTCACATTTGAATGTCTTATTGGTTAGAAATACGTGTGAAACTATGATGCTGTAAACTTTGGAAATCCTCCCCAATGAGATAGAGTCCATGTCGATGTCATACGCTCTACAGAGTGTCCCTTAAGTCACTATACCATTTCAAAAAATCACATCTAAACAGTTGGAAAAAAAAGAAGTAACTTTAACTGACGGATAGCATGTCATTTGAAATTATCTTTGTCAAAAACGGAAGTATTTCTTATTTTTGAAAGTACTTCAAAATGCCCTCCGCCTATATCTATACGTTTGGCATAATAAAAAAATCGCCGTAACTCCTTTGAACTATGATGGGACTCTTCAAAGACCTCCATCCAGATTGCAATTTTTCTTCTTTGCTCCAGCACCAGCCTTTTCTTATGAAAATGAAACCAAATTAAAATAAATATTTTTTTTCTGTTTCTCTTGTCTGCCATAAATTAACTGGAAAATTGCAGTTTGAAAAAAATTGCAGTTTAAAATGGTATGGTAACTTACGGGACACCATGTATAATTCACGGAGAAAAGTCCAAATTATGAACAATGCAAATTTAGACCTGCAACCATCTATTAGTTGTAGAATCAGTGGTCGAGTACTCTGTTGCATTGTTGCACCTTAAGAGGGGGATCTTTTGCAGATTTTGCCATGAAACAAAGCAATGAATTTGACCCTGAAAGACTTCATCGATGATGATGATGATTCTCCCATGCAATGAATACTGGCTTTACAGTACAATATCTGTGTTCCGAAAAATGCCAGGGACTTCAAAGATTTTGCCTAGCCTGAAGATCACTCATTCCAAAGGTGCACATTAGGTCTTGTCCGTCAGAAACCCTTCCCTTTTCGTGTTTACTTTTACTGTTGGAGATCATGAAGAAATGGTACAAAATCGGTTATGCTCGCAGCTTACTTCAACTCATCCTTTACAATGAGAAGTCGTGAGGAACCCATTCGAATGAGGAATTTCAATTTGGCACCACAATACTCATAGTTTGTAGAACCTACGACCCACGAAACACCTTGTCGTTTTGAGTCCTTCCCCATGGTTTCCCCCTTTCTACCTGTGTGTCCCCTTGTGAAATTGGATGAATTGAGCCTTGTGCATAGCTATCCACCTCCCATACCCAATGTTTTTGCAGATAGACCACTTTTTCTTTTAACCCTTCAAACCCTTACTGTAGAATGCACCGGCGAATCACAGTGCAGGGAGGTTTATAGCTGTGCTCAGGCGGCATCCTCTTGCGTAGATTGTGGTAGGCCCCTATTTGTCAAGGTTGCCAGATTTTGCTATTTTCCGCCAAGAAGCCTATTTGTTTGCATTCATTTAGATATAAAATTATCCTATTGGTTATTAAGCTATGATAATTTTATAGGACTTGGAACGTTCTGGCTATTTTGTCACTTCGGCTGCATTGAATTAGAACGTCATATAAATTCCTCTTAATTCCTTGGACGTGCCGATAAAGCTGCTTTAAAGTATTTGTGATATCACAGGATTAATGCACACGGCGTGGAATCAGCAACACTAGCAACCGTTCCCGCCAGATAATGTTTGATGGGATGAGCGGGGATAATTGACAACATATAACTCAGTGTCTCTTCATTTCCTCTTCAGCTTAGCAAGACCTCACAAATCCAATTTTTTACATTTTTCCCTCCAAGTTCTGATCTGAACTTGGTTATTTTTTAAATATTTACTTTACTCCTATTGGCCGGTTTTATTTCACAAGAGCAATCTGGCAACCCTGCCTCTTTGTGCGTGTGGAGTGGGAGAGTGAGGGTGAAAATATCCTACCTTTTCCTGCAGATTTACCCCCTACGAATGGGTCAATACTCACCCGTGTCGGCCTGATCCGGATGAGCTCGAAAATGAACTCACGCTTTCCAATGCTTTCTGGCATAAATGGGGTTCCCTGATGCAGCAGGGATCAGACATTGCTCCGAAGTAAGATGCCTTTCCCCCGCATGAGCTATTGCAGACAAAGCAATATACCAGCCTCACCCGATCGGCATGGATTGCCACGGCCATACAACGCTATGTTATGTATTATAGCTGCTGGACTTGTGCATGGCTGCATGATCTTTAGGACTGTCCTGTTCCGCGAAAACAATGTGACATGTCTTATAATGTATTTAGGAGTCAATACATACAAGATAGGCATTTAGGCAAGTGCGAAAGGTGAATAATAGTCAAGCCACCCAGTAGCACAGAACACTGAATCAACGTTGATTAGACGTTGATTCTGGGTTTTGATTCAATGTTGATTCAATGTTTTTTCAATGTTATGTGCTAACTGGGCAGACAATGCCTCGCAAGATTAGTGGTAGAAATTTATGACAGATGAAATAGTGACAGCAGATGCCTCTTTACAAAACTCACGACTCTACATATGCAATTCTCACCTTTTGTTCAGTTTCTCATTCAAGTCGCGCAAAAATGACAGAAGTCAGATTGTACTGAAACTAATACTTTCGGAATGGAGAAAGAGGATCCTTGTATCGGTCACAGCTTTCCATTGAAAAACATTGGCCTGTCAGTTCAGCGCTTGATTTATTTGAAAGGGCGGTGAGCACCAGGATCGTGGCAGGAATGTGGTGGTTCTTCACGTTGATCATGATCTCGTCGTATACGGCGAACCTGGCGGCATTCCTCACAGTCGAGAGGATGGAATCCCCAATCGACAGCGTCGAGGATCTCGCCAAGCAGACTAAGATCAAATACGGTTCCCTAAAGTCCGGATCCACCACCACCTTCTTCCGGGTAAATTCTCTGCAATAAAAACTGACTGGAATCTCTTTTTAACGCCTTGGTTTCCAGCTCTTCCGTATTTCACATCCTCCACTTCTCTCTGGTTGTGCAGAGGGAGAAGAGCCAGTTTACCATTTTCGGATGCACCTCCGTTCATGAAATCGCCCTCCATGTATCAAACAAGATTAGCATATTGCATTTAGTATTTTCATAATGCATAATGCTCCCTGAGGAACTTACCCGCTTCCGAAGAAACCATCCATGAGCAAAAATTTCTCAAATCTTTCCGAATGAAGCCGAAGGTGCATCTTTGATATTCTAATAGGGATAGGGGTAGCCACGAAATCTGTTGAACAGGATGGGGGAAGGGAGGGTAGGGGAAGGCGACAGAGGGGTGACCTCTCATTCAGAATGGGACGGGGGGAAGGTGAGGATGGTCCGAACCGCCCCAATCTCCCTCTGGACGCGTCCCTGGTGTAAGGCATGCTAACATCAACACCTGGAGCCTTTCGTGTCTATTTCCCTGTATTTCATTGTCGCTCTAAAGTTTTTTAGAAATTGTGACGAGCATGGGCCTCCCTCCATCAGCATAGCTCCATCTGAAATCCCATTGTTGATGCAAAATTATGCAAAAGGAGTGTAACGATGGTAAGAAGCGATGTCAACAGTTGGATCCATGAAGTAGAGAGAGTAACGACATCTATACACTCTTAGCTATGTTACTCTGAAAATGGAGTAACGAAATCTTGTAATTTTTTACTCTTGAATAAGAGCAACCTACGGAGTAACATGGTGGAAAATTGCATATAAAATGTTAGAAACTTGGAATGAAAATTTTTTCTATGTCCTGGCTTGTTCAGTAAAATGAATATTATGTCCTGAACTTCATCAACATTTCCGAGAATTGTTACATCAAGAGTAACATCAACATCACTATCCAGTTCATTGGAAATTTGCCCCCAGAGATGTTGATGGAGTTCAGAAGGTTGCTTTCCTTTTACATGAACACACCAGTGCATAAAAAAATTGATTCCAAGTGTGTAACCTTTTATTTGCGACTTTCCACTACGTTACTCCGTAGGTTACTCCTATTCAAGAGTAAAAAATTACAAAATTTTGTTACCCCATTTTCAGAGTAACAAGGTAAGAGTGTAGGCCTTAATTCATTCCAAATTTCCAGGTTCCATGACGATTCAAACTTCCATTACGATTTTTGGCATCTTAAGGAAAACCTGCACAAAAGGGTCTTCATTTGAAGGGAACCAGAAAATAATCAGTTGCCAATGTCGTAATGGGGGCAATGCATTGGGGAAAGGCAGAGAAAATAGTCATATAGAATTTCTGTAAGATATTAATATTTCCCCGGCACGCTAGCCATCTGCATAGGTCGACCAGGGGACATAGGGATTTAAAATTTTGTCTTCTCTCTCCCCATTTATTTGAACGAGAATAGGAGTCGAAGTTCCCGACGTACCAGCGGATGTGGTCGTTCATGGAGAACCAAAGACCGAGCGTCTTCACAAAGGACAACGCAGAGGGCGTGGAAAGGGTTAAGAAAGGAAACGGGGACTACGCCTATCTCATGGAAAGCACCTCCATCGAGTACCAGATCGAGAGAAACTGCGAACTGACCCAAGTCGGAGGACTTCTTGACAACAAGGGCTATGGAATCGCCCTTCCCCCAGGTTCGGAAACTGGCTAGATAGATCTGTTCCATCGATTTTCCCTTTTTAGTGCCACGAATTTTTCACTTCACAGGCCCATTTGATGGCATGATGTCAATTAACTTAAGCCCGGAAAATTTTCACAACTATTATAGATGCATTTCTGTCCCTTTTGACCTAATAACGAATTTCTCAGGTAGAGACTGTCTAGCTTCCTTTATGCTTGAGGACAGACCCCTTTTCCTATTTGTAATCCCAGGAGACGGCTAATGAGAGCGAAATGGTCGGGAAATGAACTTGTTCGTAGGATAGTGGTAGGCTATACTTACCATGAATTTAAACTGCTTTAAAAGTGCAATACATCTCTTCTATTAATAGTTATCTACAGAAGCTACACAGAAGCAGAAGTACACGTCGATGTGCACTAGTTCAAAGGTTACTTCCCATGCAGATTTTGACAATGCATGTGTTAAAGCAGATATTAGCATCATAAAACTATATTTTGACTACCTTACGGAATGGGTTTTCCTCAAATTACTGTTGAAGCATTAGAGGAACGTGACAGGAACTGCTACACACAATCTGTGGCATGACATAAGACATGGTAGAGTTCCCCTAAAAGCATGGTACCCTACTGTCGCCTAATCGTCATTCACCTTGCTTATAGGGTAAGCATTCCGGTTTCTGGCCGGTCTCCAATTGTTGACCAGTGAGGCTTAAATCCCGCATAATTAGTTAATCTGACCGTTTTCAAGCATTCTATCAACATCTTCCCATACGAAGACCTATTACTAGTGTTTCCCAGTGTGCGCACAGGGTGTCCACTTCCTAAGGGAGTCGCATCAGAGAGGCCAAAAACTGTGGTGTTTACCCTATTATGAAGACCGGGTTCACAACCTGGTTGACTTGGACCACTCTAGGAGTGGCTTCCTCAACGGTTTGTATCACAGTATTTGTTGTTAGCCTTTCAAACCTCATTCTGTTCTAGACATGGTCCTGTCTCTGGTGATGATTCCAACCGGTTTGCCTCGGCAGCGACGGTACAATTAATTGGGAATAATAGGATTTCCGACGTAATCATTATGGTTTAACTCCAGAAAATTTCGAGCTTCATCTCCGAGCAAGAAGGCAGGCTTAGGATTGAAGCAACGCTATGAGAATACTCTCATGTTTACAGAACTTTGGCAAAGCCCACATTGTCCTTCCCGTCTATTCCATGGGATTTATTATTTCCAGGACCAGGAACCCTGAGCGGCAATGAGAAATGCCGTAAGTTGGGGATACGTAGAATACCTCGTAAGTCGAAGCAGGTTTTTTCCAACCAGAGTTGCCTGTAAGTGATAGCAAGAGGAAAATGATGGAAAAGCATGTCAAAAAGGAACGAACACCCGAAATTTATTGAGTGTCATTTCTTTGAAAGCACGGAAACAATAATGATTCATTTTAGATCTGTACCTACGAAGACACTGCAAAATAAAATATTCTTTATCCTTTTAGGGTCACCTTACACAAGCGCCATAAGCAGTGCGGTCTTACAGATGCAGGAGAAGGGACGTTTCCTGGTCCTTAAGAGGCGTTGGTGGAAAGAGCGACGAGGAGGAGGCAAATGCGAAGTGAGATATAAGCCTACTACCCATTCACAGCAGCAAGTCTACCGCAAGTTTTCACTGGCAATTCCTCTTGGCTGTAGGCGGAGCTGAGTAAGGGGAGCGGGGCGGCAAATGAATTGGGTTTGGCTAACGTGGGCGGGGTGTTTGTGGTCCTTATGGGGGGCATGGGGATCGCCTGCATCATTGCCGTCTGTGAATTTGTCTGGAAATCCAGGAAACTCGCCATAGAGGAAAGAGTAAGTTCCAGAGTAAGTTGATATGCCAAATAATTTCATTCTTCAATTCCGATTATTCTATGCAACGCTACAGACGATACAAATCAAATGATACTGAACTCGCTTGAACCTAATGAGGAGTATTTCTGGTTCCTATAGGCTTCGCTGTGCCAAGAGATGGCAAAGGAACTGAAATTCGCTCTCAAGTGCCGGGGTGACACGAAACCCGTGAGGAAACAGGGAGGGATGGATGGGGATGCCATCCTCTCCCCTCTCTCTTCCGGATATTCCACCCAATTCGGCGTGGAACCCGGACAGTATGGCCACAACCGCAAGGAATTAGTTTCTTGAATTGATTTACAGCCAGTGTTTTACAAGGAATAAAATTTATCCGTTCTCAAAAAGAAGCACTCATTACCGGGCGCAAATGGAAACTTTACCCAGATTCTATCTTCCAGAGTCAACCCCACAGGTCGAAAGACATACGAACCCATCGCTAGTGACAAAAACCACCCCTTGTTCCCTGTTTGTCATGACTCATACTGTCATCACGGACCATCAACAAGAAGCAGACTGCATCTTCCACGTAACGAATCGGAAAATACTGGAAAACCTTTGTGATCAAGTCTGTTGAACGAGCCGTTCCTAGTATATTCGTAGAGAGTTCCTGTCTTTCTGGTGACTGTTTTCCCCGTCATCCTTATCTGACCTTATCATCGTTCGGCGAACCGGATCATGGCAATAAAATTCGATCCGATTCCACTTCATTCATTCCGTTCATCTAACTACGCACTCTGGCAGTGTTTCAAAATATTCCAGAAACTGCAACTTCACGCTTTTCGCACTTGTGAAAGAGTTGTTCCCTACAGGACCGGCATCGATGATAACATTTTTCTCCCATGAAAAGAAGGACCTGTCTTCTTTAGTCTTCATCTCCTATTCTCCATAGATTTTAAGATGATGCAAACAGTTTAAGTGAATGGCTGACTGGAATCTCGAACGCAATTGTTGCCCTAAATAATTTAAAACCCTTGCTGCCCGAAATATCCTTAGCTGGGAGACAAAATCCCACAAGTGGCAGTACAATAAGAGGCATTCTGGACAACTGGCTCTTTCCTGCATTTGGTGGCCAGACCCAGGAGAATATTGGTTCACCAAAGCTCTCAAAGAGATGCTGCATATATCATAATTGGAACATTCCCAGTTCCATACAATGAAATCTCTCCGGACATATGCGGACATGAAGAGAGTGCTCACAATTCAACAGGCAATGTTGGTGAATATGTGACGCAAGCTTCTGATTCATCAGGTTTTTGTCGCCATTTCTATGGTCACTGCAACTGCAGGTCTCCCTGGTTGATCCTCATACTTGAGCGACTCTCTGTCACGCATAAATTCAGCAAATATATTGAAGACCGTGGCCCTTGATGGGGCCTGATCCCCGAGGGTTAGATGCAATTGATCGCAAAATCATCAGCAGACGCGTCCGTTTAATAATCCTACGAAAGCATGGCATCTCTCCTCTCGGAACTCCACGGTTCATCATGCAAACCATGGTACATATGAAATTGATAAGAAATCAAGTAATCACTGAAACACTGTGAAAACTGATCAGCACAGCCTCACATTGGACTAATATTTGTGGGAAATGTTAGCTGGACAGGAGAAACGGAAACGGGCCAAAGCAAGAAAAAAACCCTATTAGTTACCCTCGTACTAGTCGATTTCTCGTATCGGCACTTGCGTCATAACTATAGTTATGACGACGACGAATGTGCGACTATATATAGTCGCACATTAAGAGCTGTCGCTGGCAGCAATTTCGTCTGAACCAACCTCGAGGAAACTAGTTTTTGTTGACAAAACTACCTTACCAGACGACAGACAACTTCTTCAGAATGTAACTTCACATTTCAGCATTTAACAATGCCGTACATGTGAACAGAAACAAGTGTAAATGGAAACTCTACTGTAAATGAACGGACTTCGCTTCCTCTGAAATGATTTCATCTGAGCTTTATGTACAGTATTCGATATTACTGTACCTTACAGGTAGTTTCCCAATTCGCCAGGTGAGAATAACGTTATACGACCAAATCTGACATTTTGAGACAGATCAACTTTATTAGAGAGTTTACAATGTCACACATCGGACTAATAAATCCAAAGAGTAATGTGCTCAACAAAGTAGAAACGCATAAGGAGAGGTACAGATGTAGGACGTAAAAATTGTGTCGGTTGGGTCCTTATCTATACATACTATTTGTATGCATGTAGTCCAGACATCCACATTGGTAGGTCCCCAACACATGACTTAAAATTGCACAGTAGATGGCGCTCATGTTCCCCGGAATCTCCGAACTCAGGTCAGGCAACATCGGACTTCAGGAAAAGTTTTTTTCCCTTCCCCTGTCCTCCTCTCATCTTGAGTCTTATGAACCAATATAAGGCAGAAGTATAATTGTTATATGTAAAAGGCAATCAACGTTTCCGGAAACTTTTAAATGCTGGGGTTTTGCATGGAAACTGAAGTGTAAACACAGACATTTTTTGCCCGGTCTTGAATGAAATTCTCGAAGAAAAGAAGATTGCGTAGATATACATGTCACATCATCCAGTTAATACTTGATGACCTTGAATGTTGAGGAGATTGCTGTTACTGAGGTACCCAGTCCATCCTTCGCTTCACGGCGACCATTTTGAGCAGTCTCCGCAGTTTCTCAATGAAGAGTTCGGAGTTCGCTATCATTTATGACGGTTTGTTGACAGCCAGGGACGTGGCGCCGACAGGGGCATTAGGTGTTCTGTCCCGCAATAGCTCACCGTAAGGTCTCTCATTGTTAACAATTAAAGTTCGTAGGCAGATCATCCTAACGCCCGTGGGTCCGAAACAGCGAACAAATGCGGTTCTCAAGAACGGACCCATCTGTTCCTCTTCAGGACACTCAGGAAGGGTACTTTTTTTTACTCATTTTTGCTTCTGTATCTGTTCCACGAACCCATCATTACATACGTTTTTACGTCATAACCTACAAAAAAATATACCTGTCTGTACGTGTCTGCTTTGCTGTGAGCGACCTGCAACGTCAAATAATAAATGAAAATGGCATTAAAGTGCTACAGTTAAGAATGACAAATCTTGACGGACAAAATGAATCTTAGTGTACGAAGTGTCATCACAATAGATCAACTCAAAATTTATTTATGCTGCTTTTGCTATTGGTGAATATAATAGCTATAGATAATATAGTGAGCCTTGTGTGCTGTGTTGGTATTTCCTCTTCGAGAGTAATGTACAATTGGCAGGGTATTTTTTATACTGCTGGGCTTCGATATTCACGAAGTGACTTCGTGCCATCCTATGCACTTTCGACGTCGAATTAGATTTTTAGACATTTCGTGAAGAAGGCATTTTATCTCTTTGCCATTAATTCTTTTCGACCTTTGCATCGATTCGACAGAAATAAAGTTAAAGATTCTGAACAGTCGCCATTATGTGATCGGACGAAGAGTGTTGTGTCGTCGGAAGCACATGTGAAGGTGACACCTGTACCCTGCCCCACGAATGTTCCTTGAGCTTTGACCAGGGCAGGCGCTGACAATAGATAAAAAATTTCCTCTTTTTTTTCTCGTTCGTTTTCAGGAAGAATTGTGCAGGACATCGAACTAGCCAAGACCTACACTGCTTTTCGGCTGAGTTCGGCAGTTTTTTCATTTGATTTCGACGATATTTTTGTCGACTAATAAATCATTTGGAGGAAGGTGGTGATTGGGATGAGGTGAACTTGCCTTGAAAATGTCAGAGGCAAGTGAAATAATGTTTCACTGAATTGCAGATGGATTCAAGTGGATGCGGCCAGTTTCGAACAGGCCATGGAAGCATAGGCGCCGAACCCAGGGGGGCAAAGGGGCACGTGCCCCCCCCCCCCCCAAGAATGGCCAAATTTAAAAAAAAAGGATGGCACATGAAACATTGGAAACAAGATTCTGCTTCGCGAAAGAAATGAAAAATATGATTTTCCTTTCTGTTTAGAGCTGCAACTGGGGGAGATCCCTGTGTCACCCCATAAGGGTATGGGGTGGGACGGCCATGCCCCCACCCCGCGCTTGTCACTCTGCTACCATACTAATACTGAGCTACCCCAATGGATCTTGGGATAATACCATCACTGATATTTCAGGGGCATTAGGAACTTGCCCCCCCAATATTTTTTAGAAGTCGGCGCCTATGCATGGAAGGAACAAAGACCGAGGCATGCCGGTGAGCAGTCGATTCTTTTTGACGTGACATGTTTTCATTTGTCCCTTAAAGTGCGACATGAGATGAATCGTCGGATCCAGTCGCACACTCTCGACTTCTATTCGACGCATCGGACGGTCGGAGGAGGGAAAAGAGCAGGATATTTCCGTCCGCGGAATCTCCGACGCCTCTTCGATGCGTCTCCGACAGAATATCAGATCGTGTGCAACGGCCTTTAGGTATACAAAGTTACCTTCATTGCTCAAGGCTCTAACCTTGTCGAGGTCGAGATCTCTTTCACGTCTGGGAGTGTTTCGGAATGGGAACTGCTAAAGTGGAGGAAAAGTACAATTACGGGTCATTTATCAGCCCACCTGTCACCTCCTGGCCTATTTAAATGTCTGAGGTCATTAGAGGGCGAGGTATTAGGGGTGGGGGGGGGGGGGGGGGGAAGAGAAGGGAGAATCGGGGTCAATGCCATGGATTTACTTTGACCTGAGGCACTGAGAACATGCCTCTCCCTATCCCTCGCAGTCTTTCTATGTTATAGTGCATCCGTTCGAATCGCGGGTTGTCGGATCTATGCGGCACCGGCTTAATGAGGGTGAGAAGTGGGAAGCGTCAATCAAATCGGCCACCCCCGAACCCAAGGGCGACTCTGCCCCTTTTTTGAGGTGGGAAGGAGATCAATGAATGCATGAGGAAAGGTATTTTTAGACTTTCGGGGAGTAGAGGGTTGAAAATAGAGGAAGCTCCGCCACTGGTTTCCTTCTTAACTCCCCCTCTCCTCTCATTTATCGTCGAGCTTCCCCTTTGGTCCTTGTGCCGCCTGACATGCTAATGTCTTCATTTGCTTATCTCTCTCGACCCGCGATTCGAACGGATGGACTATATATGGTCTGTTCCCGACCAAAATCTTCGGATATAGATTCCCCCTGACACTATTATTGTGGGTAGCCAGTAAATTCACATGTCAATTCCAGTAAAGTGATTTACTGGAATTGACATGTGAGTGCAACCCTTTTGGGAAAGAATGCGCAGGGTTACCAGATTCTGTTGGAATCCTCCCATGGCCGCCACGACATCCGCAGGACACTCACACGAAGAAAATGTATAAAAATCCATATCACGACAACCCTATCTATATTTACAACCCTTCCCATTATG